ATTGTTTTCGGTTGCTTTGAAAGCTTTTATTAAATAGACAGTTCAAGTTAAATTTAAGTTTGGTAACAAACATACATGCAAGGATTAATAAATACCTTCAAGACAATGATCATAATCCCAAATTGAATACTCAGGACCTTGGGCCGCCCAACTATCGTAATCGGCCTTTTGGCCTCGCCTAAAAATAGTGAGCATCATAAGCATAATAAATATTGTACACTCAAAGTTGTATAAAGTATTTTTCTTTTTTTTTAAAAAATAAAAAAACCTATTTAATTGAATGCGGATGAAAAGAATACATACATATAAATCATTGCATTCACAGTACTACAACCTCCAATGACCTTACCACGCGGATAGGAGGATCCTTTATTTAATACTTCTTTGGTAGGATCGATCGAGCTCGGCATTTTTTGATCTTCTGTATGATATCCCCAATCTACTTCACTTGATCGATAAACCTATTTATAATACATCGTCAATCAAAGAATTCGATACATGATTGATTTGATAACACTCACCGAAGCAAAAGTACAAGGTAAACGCATTATATCATTAACTTGAACATTTGGTGGACCAGCTTCCAATAGCAAAATATTAACATTGGGAACGTTGTAAATGAGTTCTCTTGCTAATACACATCCGGCGGTTCCAGCTCCAACGATTATAAAATCATAAACTTCATTGGCCTTGTTGAACGTTTGACGTTGATTGTAGCAATGAATGCTCTCTGACCAAAGCTTACGAATCTCAGCATCTGTCTTTAATTCTTTCTCTAATATTGGATTAATAATCTCTGTAACTTTGTCGGAGGAATTCATGTAAATTATTTATAAATTGATCAAGAAAAAAATTTTTTTTTTTTGAGTATATTTTTTTAAAAAGTCTGATTTGATTCTGATAAATTGGGATTTATATCAATTCTTTTTTTATTTTCAGTTTTTTTTGTAACAATAAAATTACGTAATTTTTTTTCACCCTCATTTATAAATGGAAACTGAAATATAAATTTGGTGTCGTGTGTTAATCTTGGACAAATTTGGAATTTTCAAATCAATCAATCGTTTTCTAAAGAAATTAAATTCAACTTAATAAAAAGTTTAACATTAGAATATAAATAAATTAGTTGCTTGTCTTGGAATTTACCTAACCAATCCAACTATGTATGTATTTCTTTTAATTTATGAGTGGTTTGTTATTAAGTCATATCTCGTAACTTGATTTTAATTGGCAAACAACCCATATAATATTAGATTTAATAAAAGTAAATTATCTAAGATTAAAGTGATATTAATATAAAATTTACCAATGCGAACTGGATTTGTTTCTTCCGATCTTGTAAGCTTTTACTAAATAAGTAAGCGAAAATGATGATTCACAAATGATATTTTCCGGAAAAATTCTTAAATGCTTTTTAGTTAATTTCTATTGTGTTAGCAATTAAAATATTTATCACCATTAATTTTTTCCTTCTACATTATTTTCTTCTCGTTGATAATCGGGTCATCTGAACTCATGCTTTATTATTTTTCTATGATATTAGGGTTACATATTTATGTTCATTACAATCATGTTTCCTCTAATTGATCCATAGAGATCATCGACGTAATATGAGGCGCCGTCTTGTTCAAAAATCCAGGATTATTCCCGATTTTTATCTGTACTCTATCCCGGGGAACAAATGAATGAATAAATAATTTCTTAAATTTTACGATAGTTTATATCACATCCTCCGCTTCTTTAAAATTTCAAATCAAATAATTTTTTTATATTTTATATACAGTATATAGCGAAAATAACCTGATGGTGAAGAATGGTGTTTTTTTTTTTTCACCTGGAAAATACTAAAGAAAATGGAACTTCCAATTATAAAGATTGAGAAATCATTTAATCCCAAAATTAAAATCCAGTCTCGTGCCGATTACTTTTAAATTCTTCATAGGCCAATTAAATGAATTAAATGTAAATGTCATTGTAGAATGAATATTTAACACACTATGGAGTGATCTAAAGTATTGTAAGATAGATGTTCACGCAAAACAAAAACTACAAGAATGATGTGCCGGTTGCTCCTAAGGTATTGAAAAGTAGTAGTAAGAATTATAAATTATATGGAAAGGTTGGTTTTTCAAAGGATTTCAATTTATAATTTCACCCACTTTAATGTATGTTCAAATGGTACACTTGCGTAACTGTTAAAATCGTGTCCGTGTTGCCGAGTAATTTAACAGAATACATAATTTGCAAGAGAACATTAAACATTGACATACGAACGAGAATTAGACATGAAATAGTAATTCGAGAATTATCTGTCTGATCGCTGATTAATCCATTGGACGAATATGATTTTAAATTCACAAATTTTCGACTCCCCAATTTTAGTAATGGATAGATCCCGTCTCAAATTTCTAATATAAAACAAATAGCGGGAATTGACTTCTTTTTTTTGCTATTATTTTTTAATGTACAAGATTAGAGACTGGACTCGTATTCGTTTAACTCGAGTCAACTCGAGTTAAATTCTGATTCGAGTCAGAATTCGAGTTGACTCGAATTAAAACTACTTGAGTCAACTCCAAATTTATGCTATATTTTATAAATAACATG